ACCATGGAGTAGTAAAACCATTGGTTATTATGACGGTTGATGGAGGGCCAGATGAAAATCCACGTTATCAAAAAGTCATAGGGTTTGCTATACATACAACACTTTAAGCGACATGATCCCGATGCATTGTTTTTAACTACCAATGCTCCTGGAAGAAGTGCGTATAACAGAGTAGAGCGCAAAATGGCTCCTCTTAGTCGGGATCTGGCTGGTTTAATATTGCCTCATGACCATTTTGGGTCTCATTTGGATGAACGTGGCGGTACACATGATGAACATTTAGAAAGATCTAATTTCAAAGGAAATTGATGGCTATAATGTTAATGAAAAATATGTTGGGGCAGGTGAACAAGATGTTCCTGATTTTCCAGACATTAAATGGTATTTAGAACATGTGCGTGAGAGCCAATACTTGCTTCAAATTGTAAAATGTAGAAATACAGAATGCTATTTAGATTACTAGACAATAGGTTTCTCCCACCACCTATAAAAGTAAAACAAATAGTTGATGACTTGGTTTTGGATGAAGGAGGGCAATTTCTTAATCTTCCAGTCAATTTAGCTCTACGCTTAAGTGCTTCATTCAAAGATTTCCTGCAAATGCCCTACGATTATTTTTATCCGACGGTAAAATTGAGGCTATCAAGTCGAACATGCAAAACGTGTGGTCTTTATCATGCTTACGTCAAGTCACTAAATCGTCACATCGAAAATATCCATAAAAAAATAAACACGCACACTGATAGGAAAGTTAGTCCTGTAAGAGTCGCTGCTCGTCGTGCTATTGAACTGATGTGCATTATTCAAAATTTAGAGCACCATGATGTTGAATGGCTCGATGAGAACGACGTAGACATTCCAAAATCCGATTAAAGCGAGCAAACTCACAACACTGAGCAGCAATCGAAGCGATCCAATGTCATCGAAAACTTAGAATCATCGATTCGGGTTTCAGGGACTGAAGACTGTTAATTTAAATTTAATATATGTACCAAAAGTTTAAAATAAGTTTGTTATGTTAGTAAGATATAATATTCTTGTCCTTTACTCTATGTTGAATACCGTATCAGTAAAATATAATCTCTATCCTAAATCTATTTTCTTATTTTTCAAATTATAATTATAACGTTATAATTATAATACGTAATACTTGAACGGCCCCATAGGCAAAAAAAACAATTTGCTGACAAGGATAAGATAAAAAAATGTGAATCGATGTCTTGTAGATGTTAAGAATATCAGTACTCACATAAAGTAGGACTTGGCTGGCATTTTTGTTAGCGAAGAACCCTCGACGTCGCCACAAAAACAATAAAACCGCTCGTGACAGAAATGCGACTTGAAGCACGGCATAGCTAACACTGAAGAGGAAAACAGCATAACGTAGCCCTTTCCTTCAGAAAATAATTTCATAATACATGGAAACATTGGAAATCCACCCCTCATTTCTGTATGATAACGTCGGAACATGCAGATTGATGGAAGAATGTAATGAAAAAGAGTAAAAGAAGTAATGATAGACTGATACGGAGGCTGATGAATTATTACGTGCAGATTCAAGAAATAAAGAGTCTGTTTATTATTGATGAATGTTTGTGCAAGAGGGTCGTCTTGATTGACAATGCTTCAAAGAATTCAGTTACTATGGACCTCAGCTAGAACTGTCCGAGAATCTCTAGAGCTTTCAGAAAATACTTATTGATACTTTAGCCACCAGTAGACTAATGATAAAAGCCTGGTTAGCATGGCTACTTCGTATACTTGAATAGCCACGGAGCCAAAGATCAAGTACTGTAACTACTTCTAAAAATTGAGGTGTGTTGTAAACTGGCTGTACCTTACTGAGCGGGGCAGTGGCAAATGCTTATTCCGGAAATTGTTGCACACAGAATACAACTTCTTTCCGTTCAAGTGATTGCACAAGCGTTAAGAAATACCTCAGTACCGATTGCCGGGTGGCGGTACAAGTTCGAAAAACGAGCCACTTTAGGTCTATTTAACGTCATTAAAAAGAACGTGGTAGACAAAGGCCAGTCGTCCGAGAGATACCACTCATACCACATTTTCCCTTTTCCTTTACAACAAAGGAAAAGATGATTACTAAAATTCTGAACGTAAATTCATTCCATTTTTGGAATGGCCGGGTACAGACTCTCGAGGAAACAACACCGATGATAAAATCTCCTTTACGAACATCTGCGGGATTAACAACAAACAGCTACATTGATGCTGTTTACCACTATCTGCATTCTAATCACCCTGCCACGCTTTTCATGGCGGAGACCAAAATCTCCACTAACTATATTAGCTTTCTAAATTACGAGGTGCACTCCAATCTGAGGAAGAACATCATGTCCCTTACAGCACTGCTGTCCTGTCACCCCTGGGTAACTCAGATCATGGTGTTGTGGAGGTCAGGCTCCAGTCAGAGCCGGCTCAGAGACTTTTTCTCACCTGTCCTTGAAGAAACGATTGTTTCGCTGTCTCAGATGCGTCGGCTGCCTGTTCGTCAAGAACAGAAGTTATCCACGTTGGGATGGAGAAGTACATCCCTCATACAGTGAAAGTTCTTAAACCAGGACAACAAATCGTGCGACACTGCTCGTCGGCAGAAGATCAAGGCGTACAGAACCTTCTTGCAAGACGCCACTGTAAAGAAGAGACAAGGCGATGTCGAGTATAAAAACAAATATAACGAAGCGGTTCGCAATGCCAAAGACCAGCACGATGTAGAAATTAGGCACAGGGTAATGTGGCAGAGCAATGGCAGTCGGTCTTTCTGGACGCTGGCCAAGCAAATTAAAGGGAAAGTCTCAAAAAGTAGCCTTCCACCGCTTACGTGCCGACTCAAAGACTAACGCGGAAGTGCTTGCCAAGATCTGTGCTGCCAACTCCACCATGGACGTCCTCTCCAAAGCCCGAGAGCTGTCGATTCAAAAGGTTGTGCTTGTCGCTCGACATTAACAAAGCTTCTGGTCGGGACTTCATCCCTGCCTTTGTACTGAATAGATGTGCAGCGGAGCTGGTTTTTTCGCGTCTCTTTCAGATATCTTACGAATCCGGCAATGGCGACTTGCCGATACGACACAATATTTGCACAAATCAACCGACGGTTGGAGAGTTTCACCCTAATATTTCATATCACATCTGAGGAACTGAAGCTTCAAATGCAGCTTAATTTGTTATGGCAAAACTTCGATCATAGCCTCCACGAACCACAACGATTTTATATTAGCCATCTATCAATCAACAAACGCGCATATCAAATTTCAAAGTCAAAAGTCCGTACTATATTCTTCAGTAAAGTTCAAGTAATCACAAACATTATCTGAGCATCATGTTTGCAAAAACGATGATTAACTATTCTTCCTGGAAATAGCCAACCGTATTACTGCGTCTTATAGATAGCGCGAAGATCGTAATTAAAAGAGGCATTAGAGAGGCCAAAAAGGAATTGAAGATCTCAGCACCATCTATGATACAGTAGCAAAACTAAACACTTCTCTCATTTCCATGTAGAATTTTTGTATTCTGCTACTGGCTCATAGATGGAGCTAGTATCTTTTAGATCTCTTTTTGAGCGCCGGAATGCAGTACATGGTTCGCTATCTTCAGATATAATACGTTTTTCATTGGTACCAATCACCAGTTTCACCAAAACATGATTCATATCTGATGACCCTCGTATATATACGTATTGCAGTGACAAGAACATATTTACCAACCAGTACAAGAATAACTCCATTGAAACAAAAATCTCATTTTTTGATAGGAACTTCGTTGTTCCGATCAAAACAAACACGTTTTCAACTTGACCTTGAATAATCAAACAAAGTCCCATAAGTAATCAAACGCATGAATCAATGTCAGAACTCAACAATATATCCTTCAGAAAAGTTTACGATCATAATTATCTAAGAACATCAGTTGCACAAATCAAACAAGGGTTGAAGAGCTTCACCAAAGTCTGATTCAAATTTGATGACCCTCGTATACATGTTGCAGTTTTTATAGTGACTTACATTGTTCATATTTCACTGCAGTTTCACGAAACAAAAACACATTATTAACCTTAATAATCACGGATCATCAACATAGTCGCATTATCAAACGCATGAGTCAATATAAAAACTCAACAATGTTCTTCAGAAAAGTTGAGGCAACCACAATTATTTGAAAATCAGTTGAACAAGTCACCAGGCTGTTGAGGAGTTTCACAAAAGTCTAATTCGTATTTGATGACCCTCGTATACGTAATGCAATTGCAAAAAAGGCATTTTCACAAATAAATATGATAAACGTTTGAAACGAACTCAAATGCAGCCAATTTTTTATAGTAACTTACATTGTTCATATTCCACTGCAGTCACGAAACAAAAACACGTTATCAACCTTAATAATCACCGATCATCGACATAGTCGCACTATCAAACGCATGAGTCAATATAAAAACTCAACAATGTTCTTCAGAAAAGTTAAGGCAACCACAATTATCTGAACATCAGTTGAACAAGTCACACAAGGCTGTTGAAAAGTTTCACAAAAGTCTAATTCATATTTGATGACCCTCGTATACGAAATGAAATTGCTACGAAATGAAATTGCAATAAAGGCATTTTCACCAATAAATATTATAAAAGTTTCAATCGATCTCAAATGTAGCCAATTTTTTATAGTAACTTACATTGTTCATATTCCACTGCAGTTTCACGAAACAAAAACACGTTATCAACATTAATAATCACGGATCATCGACATAGTCGCATTATCAAACGCATGAGTCAATATAAAAACTCAACAATGTTCTTCAGAAAAGTTAAGGCAACCACAATTATCTGAACATCAGTTGAACAAGTCAACAAGGCTGTTGAAGTGTTTCACAAAAGTCTAATTCATATTTGATGACCCTCGTATACGTAATGCAATTGCAATAAGGGCATTTTCACCAATAAATATTTCATTCGAACTCAAATGCTGCCAATTTTTTTATAGTAACTTACATTGTTCATATTCCACTGCAGTTTCACGAAACACAAACGTGTTTATCTTAACCAAATCTTAATAAACAAACCGCATAATCAAACGTATGAATCAACGTCAAAATTCAACAATATGTCCTCCAGTGAAATTCACAGTCACAACAATATCTGAAGTCATTTCAGATCCTCCATTTTGGGATAAAAATACCACACAAACACAAAAATAACTGTTCACTGTACCACTTTCTATCAGTTAACCTTATTCGCAATTAACCAATTCGTAATCTACCATTCGTCACATTTTTAAGAATATCGCGTTTGATCAGAACACGAATTTCGATAACAATAGAACCTGTGCACTGAATTGTTCAGAACTGACAACACTAAAACTTAAAATGGCGGCCATTGGCTCAGCATAAATTACATAGCTTACACTAATTATAGGAGAGTTTATACTGCAAGAGCTGGCAACGTGTTAAAACAAAAGAACGTAAACACAACATGGGTCCCGCCGGTAACCAAATTCATTGCGCAAGAAATGTTGCAATCTGACGGAATGATACTCACAAACATTGTTGCTAAACTGGGACCGGTGACTAAATATAGCTTAATTCCCACAGAGTGATTAGTATCACTAAATATTCACCGTCACTATAAAAACAGCGAAATATAAATTATGCAAGGCGGATAACCACTCGGTTTATTATGAGAACCGACGTGTGTGTTTTGGATCAGAGAAATTCTACACGAACGATGAGAGTATACCAGTATAGTGAACAGCCAGAGAACATGGAACAAGCAACGGTGCCAAGGGGGCGAAGCGAGGGGAGAGGGGAAGTCAAAGAGGCAAGGAGGGGGCCCACCGAGAGCTGTGGTTCGTCGGCAGCAGTCCAGAGGCCGGGAACCGTTTTAAAACCGTTCCGTGACTGTGCTCGCGATAACGAAGCACGATGGTGAAGCACTGCAGCGGTGCTGCCAGATTTCTGAGTTTAATTAAGTTAGGACGGAGTGGTGTGCTGATGTGAAGCACTGCCGTTTAGTATCGTGGTAGATTTTTAGTATGTACATCGGCAAAGCATGTTTGAGAGTAGCTCATACATTGCTAAATCAAGATTAACTATATTATCTGGTATCCTCTTTATTATCCGTTATGCTACGCCACTGGATATTTAATCATAGGTGGAAATATTTTTACTTTGCATTTGCTTTGTAATACGAAGTCTACAAATTATTTGTCAAGTTTCGATGTGGCATCACCCTCACACAACTCAATCAAGGGCGCCACTGGAAACAGCTGCTAACAAGTACCGTCAAGCAGGTTCACTCCAAACATTCTTCTCATGCCTCTCAGCACTATTATACGTTTTGTGGAAAATATACAGCTACATATAATGAAGCGAAACCTTTGCTTACTGCCTTCAACATATTGTTAAATCACCATATTTTAGTCAATAATATTTAACTACACAAACAATATAGGATACACCATCAAGAATCGTGCAAACGAGGCAGGGACGAATCTAGAGCATATATTTAGGGGGTCCATATTAAAAAAGTGCTGGGGGAGGAGCTCAAGATTCATGTTCAGGAGGATGTGCTTCTCGAGGGGGTTATCTCAGAATGAAAATTGATGAGCGATAGAAGGGATCGTCGCAAATTGAAAAACATGCAATTTTCTTAAAGTTTTGGGGGGTACCCGGACCCCTGGACAATACTAAATCAAAACTACATGCTCTAACAAGTACGAGTACCTTAACCCTCATTGTCGCTCCCTTATACAGGTTGTTTCTTAACATTGTGGAATCATTTCTGAAACCCGTAATTCCCTACTGAGATATGTTTCAGGTACATCATCAGATATGTTTCAATAAACACATATCTGATTATATTGATCTTCTAGATTCAAAGTATCATGGCAGTGTCAAAATTATCATAACTAATCAAGTATATCGTCACAAGGCACCATCGAAATCAATTTCGACGGTCGAAACTCATTTAGAATCAAGCCTCTGGACATTCATTGCAACATTCCACAGAACCATTCCATTGAAATATATCCCCACTATGTTGTCCCCTCTCTTGAGAATCCAGATACCTCCTAAAATTTGCATATTTGGCATGGTTTTGTGTACAATATTTGATGTTTTTGAGATTTACCCCCCGCTCTTCAAAAACTTTTGGAGGCTGATGGATTTTCACAATATACAAGATACTTCTTAGTGACTATAATTTAAAAAATATAAATATCATTAAATAATCTAGACTCGGCTACCTATAACCTTTCTTAACCACACAATAGCCAATAGATAAGATTTCTGTAGGTACATATTTTTCATTTTCCGCCGTAGAAACCACCAATTCTACAGAATGTTGTTTTTATAGCTCATAATATAATTAACGAGGAAGCTTCGAACGTAAAGCGAACGATTGGTAAATACCGCGGTTATGACCTAGATTGATATGTTTTTGTTGTTGAGATGCCCTTACTACCAAAAAAAGAAATAAAAGGCAAGCTGCTCCTGCTGACAAGACCACTTTTAACCATTGGAGACCGAGCTGTCGCATCTCTATATTTCCACTATTTTAAGCCAAATCATCATCAAGATACTTCGGGGAATCACCGACAAAGGCAGCTGTGGGCTTCCCTGTGCACCACACCAGCGTTTGACTCCATTGTAAGAAACTGCTTCCCTCCAACATACTCCCTTTACTTTCTACGCCACTGGCAAGGAAGCATTGTAATCGCAAAATATTTCGAAAATGAGATATATTTTTGATAATTATGACATGTACAATACGAAAAACCATCTTATCTATTTCGGTCTGTCTGTCGGTCTGTCTGTCTGCACTAATGTTTAGACCTTCTATAGCTTGGAAAGTACTGCTTGGATTTGGATTCAATTTTTGCACAATGTTACTACTATGCCAAGGTCGAAAAAGCCTTACGGCTTTTGAAAATCGGTCCAGTGGCGGCGAAAAAGGCTCAAACTTTGTTTCTTGACGTTTCAAAGGATCATTTTCAGAAAAAAATTTGCAGTGGTTATAAATTTATAGCAATTTATACATTTCCAACCCAGGTACTGTCGGTCGTGCGGTAGGCTAGATCGTATTGTTGGACTGTGGACGGACTGTATATGATCTATTCAATTTCTTTTGTTATACATGTTCTTAGCAAATGTTTTTCTGAGAGAAACTAACTTGTGTGGAATATTATCCCTTATAAATTAATGACAGCGTCGTGTAGGAGGTGCAAGGTCTACCTACGCGGCGACATTTTTTTGTAGACATTTTACACCTGCTCTTTGCTCTACGGGATCGATTCTATCTATTATAATTCTTGTCACACATAAACCAAAGAGCACATAATTTCAAAACAGTTCGACTCTAAACACTCTACCATCTTTTGCTAATATAGCCTACTTAAGTAGTTTGTTTTACTATCAACAACATTCAGCAAATAAGTATCTGCAAGGGGGTCAGAGTGTATAGGGTTCAACTCTCGTATGTAAGGTGTTGTTTTGCGCTTGTACATAAGAGATTAAACAGGGTCTCTCAGAATAAGAGGTAGCAGTCTCTCAGATGCATATAGAATACAAAAATGTCTCTATAAAAATGTCATACGCAAATAAAGCACCCTAACGGATGCTACTAGAAATCAGGTTTATATGAGGCTTAAACTGATAATTACGTTGTTAAAATTATTAAATTTATAGTGTACAGTGTATTCAAATCTCATTTAGTTAAGCGAAAAACAAATACTAGTCTGTTACAGTCAAATGCGCGAGCTTTAGCCAGCGGGCCACAAATTCTTGGAAAGTCAGCGACAAGCACATAGAAGTGGTGATCGAGTCCTCACGTTTGTTTTGACGCCTAGTAATAAATGGGGTTTGAATATACTTCAGGCTTAAGACTTACGTACTTTTAGGAGCCTGTATTTCCGTAGAAAAGCCCCGTGAGACATTTACAATGCTACTACTATACCAACGACGCAAAAGCTTTATAGTTCTTGAAAATCGGTAGCGGCAGAGAAAAAAGGCCAAAAACGAGAAACATTTCAGGGACTAATTGTATGAACCTGTTTGACTGACATTTCTCAGAGGATCTAGTTGCTGCTGAAGATTATGAATTATTATATTAACTGATAACGGCGTTGCCTAGGAAGTGTAGTCAACCTACTTGACGTCAATATGCATCCGAGAGTTTGCAATCTCATTCCCCGTATGTTTGAAATCTATTCCATCAAACAACTATAAAGTTGCAGTGCTTTTTAAAATCAATACGCGCATTTACGTAGTGACTTAGATCATAAAAAGGACTCATACCTTTAACTATACAATGAATAACCAATGCATACAAGGCTGATTTTTCTCCGCGTCAACAAATTACCGCCAAGCGCGCTGACATGGCAACGCGGCTCCAATCTCTTTCTGCCATATTGCTGTGCTGTCTCTCTCTAGCCGCGTGCTTCATCTTACGCTGGTTTTATTCCGATAAATGAAGCACCGCGTCTCGCCTAGCAACAGTCCGCGGGCTGTCAGGAGGAGGTAGAGACGGAAGAGGAGGGAGGTAGGTAAGTCAGGGACAGCAAGCCATGTAGCACGAAGCACGCCAGCACCTAGCAGAGCAGAACAAACTGTAATTCAAATGGAAATCAGAGTATAACATTCCGCTTTAGGTTCGTCATGACTTATTAAAATGCGTGATCGGTGATCTGTCTCTAGTCAGGGTCAGAGCTGTGATGAGGTTCGAGTTTTAATTGTTTTTTTATGACTTATTTTTTAGGCATGCTCGCTCAGAATTGTAAGTGTACGTTCAAATCGATAACACTTTTATTATCGTCTACGAGATATTTTTTGTTTACGTTAACTGAGCTTATGTAATGTTCGATAGCGATAGTATATATGTGATCAGTTTTTATGATCTAACATATTTATAGCATTTGTAGAGCCAAGATGTAACAGTAAAAGTGATTGCTGTCCATATGGTGATATGTTTGGTATTCAATATGTAATCTAACCAATCGTCAAAATATGGCGATTTGATGACTTGTTTTTGAGTTATAAAGCGATTCAATGTACAAAGACGGTGACCTTGACCAGTCACTTTTGGAGTATAGGGTTATAAAGTATTTACAGGGACCTTCAAAACGAGGTTCCATCTGGACCCTCATTCATTTAAAAAATGTTCTGTGGTGTTTACACTAAAATATTGATTTAATGTCTCGAATTTCAGCCTGCTAACTTAGCCCATTCAAAAATAGATTGGCAGGACCTATTTGAAAAGCAATGTAAACCTGGCTGCACATTTTTTTCAATTTGAAACGGGAATACCCTAAAAGGATCCTCGGTCCTTTTTTATAACCTCATTACACCCAGGCGCTACTGCGACGGTGATTATACTGTTTATTACTTCAGTTATTGGTTTATTAATCCATTAGCAAATATCGGCCCTACTTAGTTTCTCCATGCTTAGGGTCCAATTTCTTATTGTTTTTACTTTGTCCGCTGATGGTTTATATTTGGATTTATCATATGGGAAGCCTTTCCATCATTTAGAGCTCATTAACATAATGCTACCTATCCGGATATGGAACCAACAAGTAGGTAATTTAGTATCAAAAGTGAACCGATCATTTTTTTGTGGTAACTGACCGTAGAAGACAGATGTGTTACCCGCTACCTGCTGCGGGCTTTGTTATTTTGTATCCTTTTCTTAGGACGGTAGAGAAAAAGGTAAAGGAATCCGAAGGATTATGGGACTGTAA